CCTTCCACGGGCTGGGACATGCCTTGGATTCTGATGCTACTGCTCACAATGGGTCAGGGAGTTATCATCTTGGCCCTCAGCATCATGCTCTGGAGGCAGAGGGTCCACGGGGCTCCAAGCAGAGGTGAGTCCCTCCCTCCCTGAGGGAAGAAGAGAGCATGTGGGTATGAGGCAAAGGCCTAGGCTTATACCCTGCCTCTGTGCCCCACCTCCTCTGGGGGTGGGCAAGGAACACGGCTCTAAGTTGTCTGCTGACTTCTCTTCTGTACCCCGATGGCTCCTTCTTCCCAGATGCCTCGATTCCTCAGTTCAAACCTGAAATCCAGGTCTATGAGAACATCCATTTGGCCCGTCTTGGGTGAGGAAGAACTGGGGGACAGAGGCTTAAATCCCAGAGGGGGCTGGGGTTGGAAGAGGAAACCCTGGGATTGGGTTGGGAATGGAGCCCTCCTTCCTGAGGACATGGAGAGTAGAGGTATCTTTAATCTGTCTCTCTGGAAAACCTCACAGCCCACCTGCCCACAAGACCAGGTGATCTTGGTGACATCTGCTGGGAAGTGTGACCTGCTGTCTCACTGGCCATCTAGCACCTGCAGGATTCCCTGACAACCTCGGCAAGCGGGGGCAGGACTTAGAGTTCGACTTCACAGTCCAGCTGGCCTCCAGCAGCCACCAAGCTGTATATGGGGAAGGGTGGGGACTGAAGGAAAGGAGGAACATTATTCTGTGATGTCACCTACAAAAAGGTTTGGTCTCCTGTCTTGTAGCAGCCAGTGGACGGGTGGCCCTGAGCTCGTAGTACTGTGGGGTTGAGGGGAGCCTGAAGTTGCTGGTGGGGGCGAGGAGGATGGCTGTGGGCAGGGAGGAGACAGGAATCTGGAGACATGAGCAGTGGTGGGGAATCAGTTGTGGGGGAGCTGAAGGACAAATGGGAAAAACGGGAAGAGAGAGAGGGGAAGAGACTCAAGTCAGAGAAAGTGGAAAGAGATGGACAGAGAGAGAAAAATAGAAGCACAAAGTGGGAGGATGGAAGGGCAGAGAAAATGGAAAGAAAACTCAACTCATGTCTAAATTAAGCCAGACCCCCACTACCCCATGTCTCATCCTCACAAAGAAGAGAGGGAAGAAGCACCTTCAATCAACCCGACTTCCTCACATGCACGGGGAGGGAACTGAGTCAGGATAGAAATGCCTGCGCTCGGCTCCCAGCCCCGGGCCGCCTCCTTATCCTTCCTTATCCTAGGCACACACTCTTCCCTGCGGCACTCCACCGGGGCATTCAGAGCACGTGAGCAGCTATTACCACCCTGGCACTTCCTCCCTGCTGCCCTGGGGTCACACCCTATCTCCTGGGGCAGGCAGGCCCAGCGGGGTGTGTAATTCATTGGGCCAGGGCCATGCTGGGATGTCTGTGAACCATGGGCAAGTCTGGGCTGGTAAAGTGAGGGAGGGTATTGATGCTCCCAACCTGGCCATTCTGCAGTCACAGGCAGAAATGAGCTGGGCTCCCAGCCACACCCTCATAAGCAGCTCCACCAGGTGCCCTTTTGTGTCTCTGCTCAAGCTTGGACCTAAATGGAGAAAAGCTTTCTGAGAAGTCTTCATGATGCAGGGGCTTAAACTAAGCCACTGGCAGGAAAGAGGACGCGAATGACACAGATGGAAGATGAGGGGAGTGCCGTGGTCCAGGCTCCAGCTCCAGCCCAACCCACCAAGCAGCTATAGTTTGCTCTTAGAGCACACACGCAAAGACACACACACACACACACACACACACACACACACACACACACTGCAGTATCTGCAGTATTACTGGACTCCTAGATAGATCTTTTATTAAAGATACTCTTCAGAGCTCCCCAAGCCCTCTGTCCTGAGTTCCCGACCTACCACGTTAGTCTTTTCTAGCAAGACTCTCCTCCTCACCATACCTGATGCCCCTTTGATCCCCTTGCCCAAGACCCACAGTGTCATCAACATGCCTTCCTTGCCAGTGACTTGGGCTGATGGGGCATCAGCAATGGGCATCTGGAAAAGATAAAAGACACAAAATAGGTGTTTTTTATGAGGCTGGACTCTGGTCAGGTTCCTCCCCAGGCCCTGTGAGGGGTCTGTGAGGGTGCTGCACTGAGAGATCTGAGGTCTCAGTACAAAATTAGGTTCTCGGGCATGTCTCAAAGTGTCTGTGCAGGTGTTTCCAGGGCCGAGGTGATGGCGGAGGAATCTCGGGTTGGGGGCTGCAGATCCATCAAGGCTAGTGGAGGAGGTGTCCTCTCCTGGTGAAGCTGGCCACAAGGAGGGGCAGGGAGGTGAGGAGGCTGGGGAGCTGCCGTGGGGAAGCGGCTGCGTTCCACAGGTCCTGCTCGCAGCAGTGGTGCCTCAGGGTGTAGGAGTGCAGCCAGTAGGTGGCATGGCCAAGCAGAGGGCACTGGGCCCTTGGGAGGCAGCCTTTCTCCTGGATGATCTCACTCTGGTCTGTGGGACGAAGGAGGCATACTGAGGAGGGGGCCACAGGAAAGCTGGGATGGATGGAGATAGGGAGCTGCCAGGAGGGCCACTGGACCAGAGTCCTACCTGAGGTGCCAATACTGATGCTGCAAGCTTCATCGTCCTGACACGCGGTGGGAACAGGGCAGCAGGGTTTGGCGAAGCCGCAGGTGTAACAGCGGAGCCTTCCCTGGGCAGGGGACATGGTGAGACCTGTTGAGGCAGCAGAAATTAGGGAAGTGGGAGAGGCAAACCCTTCTTGTGGGGCAGGCAGAGGCCAGATCCAGGAGAGGGACAGCAGAGAGAGGTGACACACTAGGTGGAGAGAGGGAAGCTGTGCAACAAGGGAGGAAAGCAGACAGAAGTAGAAACACAGACACAGAGAAGGGAGGGAAGATGATGCAGGAAAAGAAACAGAGACAGAGGAAAGAGGGGAACATGGATTGAGAGTCGCAAAGACATGATCAGAAGCATGAGAATCAGAGACCAACATTGATGTTGAGTGACACAAAAAGCCAGACTTGGCAGCAGGGAGGTAGAGGGTGGAGGGAGTCTGGGCAGGAGCGCGCCAGAAACAGATAAGAAAATAGAAATTGACATTGACCAAGAGGCACAGCATAGAAGCAAGAGGTAAAATAAGGGACCAGGGAAACGGGGCGGGTCAAAGTGGAGCAAGGAGGCGACAGTTATTCTCAAATGCCTTTGAAAGGAAACTCTTCCTTTCCCACCTCATCAGGCTGGCCTCCCCAGTGGCTGGCCTCCCTGAAGTCCCCCACTCTCCCTGCTCTCTTCTTGGCCTCTTCCAGCACCCCCACCCCTCTCCTCCCCAGCCCTCAGGTTCCTCCACATGCCCTGTCTCTGCCCCCAGCCCCCTGACCCCTGAAGGTCCCCAGCCCACCCTTACCCAGTGTCCCACAGAGGAACAGGATGCAGAGGAAGATGCTGGAGGTGCCCATGGCCAGACCCAGGCTCAGGAATCTGGGAGAGGTGATCTGCAACCTGAGATCCCGGGATTTGTAGAGTTGGAGCATTTGAGCAAGACAGGGAGGAACCCGTAAACAAACACACCTAGGGAGTGAGTTTGGGGTGCAGAACCGTGACCAGATTCTCCAGCCTGACCCAGCAGGCAGCGGGGCCACAGCCTGCCCCCGAAAGGAGTCTGCCCTTGCCTGGAGGGTCTCCTCTGCTCTCTCAGCGTGTTGTCTCTGTAACTTAGCTTCCTCTCCTACTCCTGAGTTGTGTCTGTCGCCTTCCCTCCTACTCCTCTCCCTCCCTCCCCATGTCTCAAGCTGCTCCGTGACTCTCTCAGCTTCTCTCCGTCTTTGTTTTCTCTATTTTTCCCCCTCAATGCTTTCACGTCTCTGAAGGTCACCCTCCTCAACAGCCCTGGCCTGGATCTGTTTGAGTGTGGAATCAACAATACCCCCACCCACCCACCCACACGAACACACAAAGCCCAGCTGTGTAAGGGCGGACCCCACCTAGCTTCGGATTCCTTTGATCCCCTCAAGCTTTAACATTCCTACCCCATAATTATCCCTGCCAGCTTTACTACCTTGGAGGAAAGAAATCATCATGGGTGGGGCTGGAGGGCCGGATACGCTTGCACTGGGGAGAAATCACTAGAAAGGAAGGCGTGCATAGGATTTGGGGTAGGGGGAGTGTGGCAGAGCCTAGAAGACTGGGGTTGAAGAGATTGGGAAGGAGGAAGGCCCCATCTGGGAATCAGAGCCAGCATGTACCTGGAGGGGTAAGACTAGGAATAGGGAGTGGGGACAGGGGAGACACAGGCACCCAGGAGAGCAGCTCTTTTCAAAAACATTGATCTTGCTGGTACATGCCCATGAGAAAGAAACTCAGTATATCAAACACACACAAAAAAACAAAACAAAACAAAACAAATATTGATCTCAGGACCTCTTTACACTTTTCAAAGTTACTTAAGACTCTGAAAAGATTTTCTTTATGAGGTTATATCAACATTTACTATATTAAAAATTAAAATAGATCATTTAAAGTAGGTATTTATTGATTTAAACAACAAAAATAATAAAATATTACATGTTAACAAAATGTAGTTTTGTAAAAAATAACTATGATTTCTCCACAGCGTAGTGAGAAGAGCATTGCTTTGCATTTTTGTGAATCTAATGTCAGGCTTCATGGGAGATGCCTGGGTTTTCCTATCCCTTCTGCATTCAGTCTTTGGGATATGTTGTTTTCATTGAAATCTAGTATATGAAGAAAATCTGACCTTACACAGATAATTGCAAAGGGAATCCCCTCAAGGACCCTGTGAAAGGGTTTGGGGACCCCCAGGGATTCTTGGTCCACAGTTTCAGAACTGCTGCTGAGGATAAAGGAGTTTGAGGACTCCAGAAGATGCTGAGAGCATGCCATGGGGCCCCTCCCTGTCCCCACTGGGGCCACTGGTGCCTGCTAGGGGAGACTCTTTCCTCCTTTTTTATAGCCCTATAAAGCTCAAGGCAAGGGGGATATAAGGCTGACAGAGCCGGGCTGGGGAGAGGGGCGGGCGGGAGGTAGAATCGGGTAGACTGACACAGGCAGACTGCGATGAACCCCCAGTTTGTTGGGATCTTGCTCAGCTCCCTGCTGGGGGCTGCCTTGGGTAAGGAAGTGGCCAGCTAGCCTCTCGCACAGGTCTTCTGCCAGCAGGCTCCACCGAGGGCCCAGGTCCAGCGCCTCTTTTCTCCTGCCAGGAAACCGAATGCGGTGCCAGGACTGCGGTGGAAGCTCCAGCAGCGCTTGTAAAGAGGCCGTGACTACCTGTGGTGAGGGCAGACCGCAGCCAGGCCTGGAACAGATCAAGCTACCTGGAAACCGTGAGTCCTCAGTTTCTTCCTCTTCCCGCAGCCTTTCCCTCCCTCCAGCCCCACGTCAATCCTTCTGGCTTCCAGAATCCTCCAGGCTCAGTCTGGCTCTGAGCAGATGGTGTGGCTGTCAGAGGAGAGCAGTCTGTACCCCTTCTGGCTCCTGGCATGGAGCCCCCAAGAGGCCCACAGTCCTTGTGCCCCCACCTCCCCACTCCTTACTCTCCCAAAAGAATCTCATAGGCCCATTAGGTCACAAATGAAAAGCTCTGGCCTTGAAAGGCCAAAGTTAAAAGCAAACTTTGAATTTCCGGCATTAGCTAAGGACCAGGGAGGGGTGTGCGTGTGCGTGTGTGTGTGTGTGTGTGTGTGTGTGTACATTATTTTAATATTTTATTTTAACATAATTTTGGATTGACAGAAAAATTACAGAAGTTTTCGGCTTCTCCTAATGCTAACATCTTACATAACCATAGTACAATTATCAAAATTACAAAATAACATTGATATACTACTACTAACTAATCTACAGACTTTATTTGATTCAGCAGAATCCCATATTGCATTTAGTTCTCATGTCTTTTTAGTCTCCTCTGATCTGGGCCAGTTCTGTTTTTCTTTGTTTTTTATGACCCTGACACATTTGAAGAGCCCTGATAAATTATTTTATACCTGGAGTTTAAAATATCACTTTTAGGGCCGATGCAGTGACTTATACCTGCAATCCCAGCACTTTAGGAGGCCAAGGTGGAGCCCAGGAGCTGAGACCAGCCTAGGCAACATAGGGAGACTCTGTCCCTAAAAAAAAAAAAAAAAAAAGTTAGCTGGAGCAAGGCACCATGGCTCATGCCTGTAATCCCAGCACTTTGGGAGGCTGAGGCGGGCGGATCACCTGAGATCAGGAGTTCAAGACCAGCCTGGCCAACATGGGTAAACCCTGTCTCTACTAAAAATACAAAAATTAGCCAGGCATGATGGCGCTGCCTGTAGTCCCAGCTACACAGGAGGCTGCGGCAGGAAAATCACTTGAACCCAGGAGGCAGAGGTTGAGTGAGCCAAGATTGCACCACTGTGCTCCAGCCTGGGCGACTGAGTGAGACTCCATCTCAAAAAAAAAAAAAAAATTAGCTGGGCGTGGTGGCACATATCTGTAGTCCCAGCTATTCAGGGGGCTGAAGAGGAAAGATCGCTTGAGACTGGGAGATTGAGGTTACAATGAGCCATGATCATGCCACTACACTCCAGTCTGGGTGACAGAGCAAGATCTTGTCTCTAAAAATAAATAAATAAAATCATGTTTAGATTTTAAAACATTTACATATATTTGATATACTAAAATTATAGAATGTCCCTCAATTTGTATTTATCTGATATTTTGCCATGAGATTGAGGTCATGCATTTTCAGCAAGAATATGCAGAAGTGATGTCGCATCCTTCTCACTGCGTCACATCAGGAGTTTACAATGTCAATATGTTAACTTTGATCACTTGGTTTCAGGGAGGTGTTTTTTGAGGGGGCAGAAAATCCCTTTGGGCTCCTTGAAATCATATCTGCTCTGCCCCAGAAGGCAAGTCCTGAAGCCAGGAATCCAACACCCCAGTTTCATTCTTTCTCTCAGCCTCAGTGACCTTGATTCATCAACATCCAGCCTGCATGGCAGCTCATCACTGCAATCAAGTGGAAACAGAGTCAGTGGGAGACGTGACTTATCCAGCTCACAGGGACTGCTACCTTGGAGACATGTGCAACAGCGCCGTGGCAAGCCATGTGGCCCCTGCATGCATTTTGGCTGCAGCAGCTACCGCCCTGGGCTGGCTCTTGCCAGGACTGTGGAGAGGGTAGTGGGAGTAGGGGTACAGAAGGGAGCAAGGGAGCAAGGGTCGTCTGAACATCTAAAATGAGAAGACAAGCATTCTTCCGTGAGCCATTAAAATCTATGGACCACTCTACAGATGACTGGAAAACTGCATCTATCTTTTGTTGATAGGTGGGCTAAAAGGGTAATATGGGCATCCACGTTCTAGTTTGGGGGTTACCAAGCAACAGTGGGCTTAATTACAGTGGCACACTCCTTAACCAACTAAACCCCAAAAGACAATGGCTTATCTGCCCTCCATGGCTCCTGGATCCTGTTGCTGAGTTGAATCTTCCTTGGCAATGAGTGGGGTTGCCAGGGTTTCGTGAGCCTGAATCTGTGTTTGCTCCCCTTTCTCTCATTTGCAACTCGGCTCCCAATAGGACTATTTTGAATTGAGAAAAAAAATGTAAAGTCCGGGTATGGTGGCTCACACCTGTAATCTCAGCACTTTGGGAGGCTCCGACGGGTGGATCATGAGGTTAGGAGATCGAGACCATTCTGGCTAACATTGTGAAACCCTGTCTCCACTAAAAATAGTCCCAGCTACTCGGGAGGCTGAGGCAGGAGAATCGCTTGAACCTGGGAGGCAGAGGTTGCAGTGAGCCGAGATTGCGTCACTGCGCTCCAGCCTGGGCAACAGAGCGAGACTCCATCTTTAAAAAATGAAGAAAAGATAAAAAACAGGGATTTGGGGGAAAAAAATGAAAAGAAAAGAAAAAAAAAGTAATGTAAAAACTGTGATAGGAGAAAAAGAGAAAAAAAAAAAAAAAAAAAAAAAAAAGGAAAAAAGAAAAAGAAAAAAAGAAAAAAAAAAAAAAAAACACAAAAAACTGTGATAGGAGAGCTGCTTGGTGCCCTACTTCGTAACCAGGCCAGGTGAGGCCTCTGACTTTAATGTGAGAGAAACTGAGGAAACAGGGTCTCGGGCCCCATCCCGGTGTGCCTCTCTTATCCTTTCTGGAGAGCCCTCAAGCCAGGCTGCACCTTCTTCTTGGCAATACATCAGGGGTGTGGCCTAAATTTAGGATATGAGTTGTTTCTCCAAACACTGGGGCTTGTGTGCCACCTGGAGACACTGGAAGGGAGGACAAAGACCTGAAAAACCTGTTTCTCCATTTGCCCCAGCCTCAGCCTCCCAGGGAACATCCCTGAAGGATTCCTGTGTAAGGGTGGGAGACAGAGTGTTAGTTGCTGGGAGGTGACCTTACCCTTAGGCCTTCTGATAATAAATGCACATTTCATCAGACTCAGACATTTATTACTCAAAACGGAAAGAGGTGAGTATGGGGATGGGGTACGTATGGGAGGCTGGGTTTGGGGAGTCAGCCCTGTACAGTGAGGTCATCAGGTCCTTGCGGAAGCCTTCATTGGGGACAAGACAGAAACCCCATTTCAGGCCCAGATCCCAATCTCTCCTCAAGGAGACAGTAGAGTGTAGGAAGCAAAGTGGGGAGTCCTTCTAGGAGCCAGTGGAAGCTCTGGAACGAAATGGGAAGGGACTCAGAAAAAGCTGAGTGGAGGGTGTGAGGTGGGAAGGATAGGATGGATGAGGAGACCACTTTGGAACATTGTTTAATTAAAGAAATGGGAGCTAGGGAGGGACCATTCTGTAAAGCCAGGGGATACGGAGACACAGGGAGAGAGGCTCAGGCCAAGGCAGGTGGGAGGAGGGGCAGCCGATGGAGTGAGTCTCAGTGCAGCAGCCAAAGTCCAAGGCCAGCCAAGGAGGTGAGGAAGACAAGGCCCAGGGCCGGAGTGGGCCGGGGGCCCGCACTGTTGCAGTTGTCCTTGTTGCAGCAGGTGGTGTTATAGGTCAGGCCCAGCTTGTGGTTGGTTTGGTTGAAGGCCTCCTGACAGGGCTCTTCTGGTGTGCCACAGCGCAGGTTGGAGAAAACCCACATCTTACCTAAGGGTGGGAATGGGCAGGGAGTCAGCTAAGATGGGCACCTGGCATTCCTGTGTCCACCTCCCCACTCCTTCCACTTGCCCAGGCTTCCTTCCTTCCCATCTCTGTCCGGGGCCCTCCCCTTCTCTTTTCTCAGTCTGATCTTCCTCCTGTACTTCCTTATCCCGACTCCCCCAATCCTGGTTCTATCACTTGCTGGCGGTTAGGCCTTGGACCTGTTACTGTCTCTTTTTTTTGTTTGTTTTTTGAGATGGAGTTTCGCTCTTGTTGCCCAGGCTGGAGTGCAGTGGTGCAATCTCAACTCACCGAAACCTCTGCCTCCAGGGTTCAAACGATTCTCCTGCCTCAGCCTCCTGAGTAGCTGAGATCACAGGCATGCGCCACCACACCTGGCTAATTTTGTATTTTTAGTAGAAATGGGGTTTCTCAGGCCGGGCGCGGTGGCTCACGCCTGTAATCCCAGCACTTTGGGAGGCCGAGGCGGGTGGATCACAAGGTCAAGAGATTGAGACCAACCTGGTCAACATGGTGAAACCCCGTCTCTACTAAAAATACAAAAAATTAGCTGGGCATGGTGGTGCGTGCCTGTAATCCCAGCTACTCAGGAGGCTGAGGCAGGAGAATTGCCTGAGCCCAGGAGGCGGAGGTTGCGGTGAGCCGAGATCGCGCCATTGCACTCCAGCCTGGGTAACATGAGTGAAACTCCGTCTCAAAAAAAAAAAAAGAAATGGGGTTTCTCCATGTTGCCCACGCTAGTCTTGGACTCCTGACCTCAGGTGATCCACCTGCTTCAGCCTCCCACAATGCTGGGATTACAGGTGTGAGCCACCGCGCCTGGCCTTTTTTTTTTTTTTTAAGATAGTCTCACTCTTGACCAGGCTGGAGTGCAATGGCACAATCTCAGCTCGCTGCAAACTCTGCCTCCTGGGTTAAGCGATTCTCCTGCCTCAGCCTCCCAAGAAGCTGGGATTACAGGTGCCCACCACAACGCCCAGCTAATTTTTGTGTTTTTAGTAGAAATGAGGTTTCACCATGTTGACCAGGCTGGTCTGAAACTCCTGACCTCAAGTGATCTGCCCGCCTTGGCCTCCCAAAGTCCTGGGATTACAGGTGTGAGCCATCATACTCAGCTGTGTTACTCTCTCTTTGTGAGGCTGTTTCCTCAATAGAATAATAGCACCCGCATCTTAAGGTTGTCATGAACATTAATTTTAAAAAAGGCATACAAATACATAGGATGTTGCCTGGTACACAGTCATCTTTGGGCAAATATTATCATTGCTATAATTTTCTGCTTCTCCACCTCAGTCTTGCCCCATTTGGGTCTCAGTCCTGGCCACAGAGTCTCCCACCTCCCTGCTCCCCCCGCGAAGGAAAGGGATGTTACCAAGGTATGCATGTGTTGTCAGGCATTGCTGTCCTGGCTCCAGGCGGCAGGACTGCCGGTCCACACAGCCCAGCACAGGGACCTTGTAGCAGGAGTGACAGCGAATGTCAGCTGGGGAGACACAAGTCAGGCTGAGGTGATGGGGTCTCTGACTTACCTGGGGATAGGCTGAGCTGGGGTGGGGGTGGAGGGTGGAGAAGAGCCTATCAGGTAGGTGCTCTAACCTGTTTGGCTGTTTGGTCTAGCAGGGACAGAACAGGTGAGTGACGCAGGGAAAATGGAAAGTGGGCGGCAGGTAAAGGTAGAGTTGTTGCTTTGTGAAAGGCCCACGCCCTACATATCTCTCTTCACTCCACCCCATCTGGAGATGAGTCAAGAGGGACAGAGCTATGAACAAAACAAGAGGCTGGGGATAGATGGAATGTGAGCAAGGTACCATGGGGAAATAATGTGGGTGGTGGAGGAGGAGATGGAGACCTGAAAGAAGGATAAATAATGAAAATGACAATCGGCCGGGCACAGTGGCTCACACCTGTAATCACAGCACTTTGGGAGGCTGAGGCGGGTGGATCATGAGGTCAGGAGTTTGAGACCATCCTGGCCAACATGGTGAAACCCCGGTCTCTACTGGAAATACAACAATTAGCTGGGCATGGTGGCATGTGCCTGTAATCCCAGCTACTTGGGAGGCTGAGGCAGGAAATTGCTTGAACCAGGGAGTCGGAGGTTGCAGTGAGTGGAGATGGCACTACTGCACTCCAGCCTGGTGACACAGCGAGACTGTGTCTCAAAAAAAAAAAAAAAACAAAACAAAACATGAGGGTTACAACACTGTCAGAAATGCCTTGGAACTTGAGGCTGGCAAAGAAAGCCATCTGTGGCCAGCTGTAGCAATTTACAATTTACTCTTCACCTCCTGGAGCTGGCAAGAGCATGGGAAGAGGAACCAGACCTGAATAGAATCCTCTCATCTCTTCAGCAGAAAAAATAATACCTGAGAGACAGATCACCAGATTCCATCTGAGCACCTTATCAAAATGGAGAGGGTGGATACCGAAGGCGGCACCCCAAAGTTCCTGCTTCAGCTAATTCAAGGTTTGGGCTGGCAAGATTTGGTGACACAGGTTTCAAGGGTGGAGGAGCCTTGTAAGTGTACCTCAGTAAAACCCACCTTACCCTGGAGGTGAGTGGCCCGGGCGTCCTCTCTTTAGAAGGTTCAAGAAAACGCTCTATTTCCATGAAGGCTCTTAGATGTCACTGGAACCATCTAGAAAGCTTCTATCCCGGGTAGGGGAGGTGGTATGCAACCCAGGGGGAAGTAGAGGGTATCTAGGAAAGGCCATAGTTGAGAGACTGATGGAGTAGATGGGAGGGTAGGCTACAAAAGGAGCCTGGAGCTGGATGCCTAGGACTTTGAGAGGACACCTGAGCACAGCAGATAGAGGAGAAGGCAGGTGAGCTAGATTCTGGAGAGTTGCATATTGAAGTGGGGCTGGTTGGGGAACTCGACACCAGAGTTTCCAAGGAGGGGACACCTTGGAGTGGGGAACAGGGGACCCAGAGCCCTGGCAGGTGAGAAAAGTGGGTCTTTCTTGGAGGTGGGGAAGATGGAGGGTGAGCTGGCTTTTTGAGAAATAGAGCAAGGAGGCTGTCATAGGGAAGCCTGGTCTTGGTGGCACAGGAGAGCTGAGCCAGTTGGGGCTGGGGGTGCTGGGATCCTGGGTGGTGGGTAGGGCAGAGCAGTGGGTAGAGCAGGGTGTAAAGGTCCTTACCAGGCAAACCAGGTCCTTGGGGCCCCCAGGTACTCACCTGAGACCCAGCAGAGCAGAGCAGACAGGGTGAGCAGCAGAAGGCCTTTCATGGCGAGGGTCCTGAGAATGGTGGCAGCCACAGGAGCTGCTAGAGTAGATTTTGGAAGATCTGGCTCTGGGAGTTGGGTGACCTTTTTGGAACTTATAAACCCAAAGGCTCCTCCCTTCCCTGTGTCTGGTAGCCCCTCCCTTCTCACTTACTACACAGCTGACCAGAGAGAAGACAAGGGGTGGGGAGGCGCTGAGCAGGACTGAGTGGGGAGTAGGGATGGGAGAGAGGGATGGGGGAGGGCAGGTGCCACTAGTGGCCAACACCATTGTGGTTCTTGGTTTCAGGCCAAGATGCCCCTCCTGGCCCCCAGCTAAGAGTCCTGCTGCTCAGTCCTGTGAAGGAGCATCATCAAAGGCCTCTGTGATTTATAGTGTCCATGGTGGTAGCTTCTGCTGGTTCCTGGGAAACAGACAATGGGATGTGACCCAAATTAACTGCTGAATTTGGGTCCCTGCTGGGCATTGATAGCAGCATGCTGGCAGAAACTGGGGGTGGAATGGGTCAAATTATCTCCATTCAGCCCCCACTTGGCCTTTCCAATGCCCACTTAGCCACAGGATGGATTTGTGACTCACTGATGTCTTCTGTGATGCCATAGTATTAGAGGCAGGGGCTGGGGCTGCTCGTCCAGGAGAGCCACTGCAGGTCTGCTAAGTGGGGGCTGGCTCAGGCCCCCATGAAAGTTCTCAGGACCTCACCCCAGCTCTACTTGTGCTTGGTGTGGCCTTGTTGCTCCAGTCCAGTGGCAGCAATTGTCCTAGGTGTGGCTGTGTGCACCTGCACCAATGCGCCTCCCCAGTCAAAACCTGCCAACTTGGGCAGGGCACCGAGGCAGGAGGAACAGCGTGGGCACAGGGAGGTGAGGTAGAAGCTAAAATAAGAATAGAAACAGTTGGCTGGGTGTGGTGGTTCCTGCGTGTAATCTCGGCTCTTTGGGAGGCTGAGGCGGGCGGATGGCCTGAGGTCAGGAGTTGGAGACCAGCCTGGCCAACATGGAGAAACCCCGTCTCTACTAAAAATACAAAAATTAGCTGGTTGTGGTGGCAGGTGCCTGTAATCCCAGCTACTTGGGAGGCTGAGGCAGGAGAATCGCTTCAAACCAGGAGGCAGAGATTGAGGTGAGCTGAGATTGTGCCATTGCACTCCAGCCTGGGCAATAAGAGTAAGACTTTCTCTCAAAAAAAAAAAAAAAGAAAAGAAAAGAAAAAGAAATAATGGAAATAGTAATAATAACAGCAAGCACTTACATAGTGATCCTATGTGTTCCAGGCAGTTTACATGTATAACTTTATTTAGTTCTCAAAATGCCCTACAAAACAGGGTTTTTTGTTGTTTTTGAGACAGGGTCTGGCTGGCTCTGTCATCCAGGCTGGAGCGCAGTGGCCTGATCACAGTTCACTGCAACCTCGACCTCCTGAGCTGAAGGGATCTTCCCACCTCAGCCTCACCAGTAGCTGGGATTACAGGAGCACCTGTAAAGTTAAGCAGGCAAAAAAGCATTTGTGTAAATAGCCCAAGCACACATTTTAAGTGAGCACTGTTTGAGGACTCTGAGTTTGCCTGTGAGGATTCCCAAAGGGATCTGGGCAGCTGGTGGCACCTCCCCCTCTCTTATCGGAGCCCCCCAGCTCCTCCTTTCTCCCCACCCCCAGCTTCCCTCTGGTTCCTTCCCCCCACCCCACGCTGATTAGCCCGCAGCCTCTCCTCACCACATCCCTACTATGGCTGTGTTTCTGCAGCTGTTACTGCTGCTGCACTCGAGGGCCCAAGGGAACCCTGAGGGTAAGTGAACCCTGGGAGAGTTGTGGTAGACTCAGAGGGGCTGAGGCAAGAAAGGGGGCGCCTAGCAGGGTGGGTTATGTGTGGGAAGATCCAAGATGGCTGGAGTGCAGAAGAGAGAAGAGAAAGAGGAGAAGGGATGGGGTGTCGTCTTGTCCTATGGACCTGCCCTAACCAGCGCCTCCGGCCTCCCCTAGCTTCTCTGGAGGGCCGCCCTGGGGACCGGGTGAATCTCTCATGCGTAGGAGTCTCTCACCCCATCCGCTGGGTCTGGGCGCCCAGCTTCCCGGCCTGCAAGGGCCTGGCCAAAGGACGCCGGCCAATCCTGTGGGCCTCTTCCGGCGGGACCCCCACCGTACCTCCCCTCCAGCCCTTCGTTGGCCGCCTACGCTCCCTGGAGTCTGGTATCAGGCGGCTGGAGCTCCTCTTGAGCGTGGGGGACTCGGGCACCTTTTTCTGCAAGGGCCGCCACGAGGATGAGAGCCGTACAGTGCTTCACGTGCTGGGGGACCGGGCCTATTGCAAGGCCCCGGGGCCTACCCACGGTAGGTCCAAGGCCTGTGAGTTCAAGGGTACTTAACTCCCACACAGACCCGTAGGAGGGAAGAGGGCCTTGGCTGGGGGTTCTTGAGTGGGAGAGCTGGCTCTCTGTCGTCATACTCCTGACCTCAGCATCCCTCCCCGCCACACCGTTCCCCCAGGCTCCATGTATCCCCAGCTCCTGATCCCGCTGCTGGGCGCTGGGCTGGTGCTGGGACTGGGAGTTTTGGGCCTCGTCTGGTGGCTGCACAGGTGAGCAAGAGCCTGGTTAAATGGTGAGTGACCAGAGGTGGAGGGGGCAGGACCAGAACCTTCGCGAAAGAAAGAGCTAGACCTAGAGCCCTTGCCCTGGGTTGGAGAGAATGGGAGAGGTGGAAGGTGGGAGGGAGGCCACTGGCTGGTGGGTGCAACCCCGCCAGAGGAGATGAGCCGGAAGCGTGAGCCTGGGCTGGACTATCTGTGGGGGCAGAGTCTAAGTTGTTTCCGGTCTGAGCCTTCAAGTTGCTGGACTGTCCTTGGCACCTGAGTTCCAGGAGAACCAGTAAGACAAGACTGGTGACTCTCGAAGACTCTTATATGTCCCTTACAGGCGCCTGCCCCCGCAGCCGATTAGACCACTCCCTAGATTTGGTGAGACTAACTCCACCCCATCTTCTTTCTCCTACATGCCCGCCCACTCCCCACCCCTCAGTTCCTGAGTCTGAGCCCTTGCTGGGAGCAGACTCGTTGGTCACCTTCTCTCCATCCTTCAGCTCTGTTCCCCCCACATAGCTCCACTTGTGAAAGCCGAGCCCCGGAGAGCAGTAAAGGAGGAAGAGCCCAAGATTCCAGGGGACCTGGACCAGGAACCGGTAAGGGCTTGGGGATGGAAAGGGGGCTGGCCAGAATGTCTGAGGAAAATGGACCAAAAAAAAAAAAAAAAGGCCTGAATCCCAAGGAAGACTGTGGAGACCATCTTGTCTTCCTCTCCTTCCCCCTCCAGAGCCTTCACTATGCGGATCTGAACCATCTGGCCCTCAGCAGGCCCCGACGGCTGTCCACAGTGGACCCCGCTGATGCTTCCACCGTCTATGCAGTTGTAGTTTGAAGGGAAGCCCTTACTCCAAACCTCCCAAGCTGGGAGCTCCCAGCTCCCCAAAATCCCTCTCCCCTCCCTGATCCCTCACCTGGAAGAGGAAGGCACCATGGTATAGAAATAAGTGCTAGACTGGAAGTCGGGAGACCTGGGTGCTAGGCTGTCTCTGCCACTGATGTTACTCCTAAACTTACTCCCATGTCTCCCATAACCTTCATGTCTCCCTCACCACCGGTGTCCCCTCTATACCCAGTCAAGCCCTATCTCCTATCTTAAGACATCAGTAACTCCCAGACAGTTGCCTTATCTCTTCCCTTCCTTCACTGTCAAGATTTGGAACCAGGGGCACACACCTGCCTCTTCCATTTTCTTCTCCTTCACTCTATCCCCACTGCTCATCTGTCGAAATTGCCTATCTGCTCTCCACAAGGTTGCCAATGGCGTCCTAATAGCCACACCCAGTAGACATTTTTAGCATTCATCTGGTTTAACCTCTGATTACTCCATTCTTTAAACTGTTTTTCTTTGCTGCTGGTGTTTTCTTTTTGGACTCCTTCCTTGCTCCATATCCCCACAGTACTTACTCCCCACCATTCTAGGTTTGTTCCTTTCTCCTCCTTTCTCCTCTTCTAGCACACTGTCATCCAGTCAGTCCTCAGCCCCTACCTCTGCAAATGACACCCAGAACACTCTCTGGCTCAGATCTCAGATTTGGGATTAATGAACTTCCCCTTAGACATTCTGCCTGACTGGCCTCAGGCATTTTTGCTCTCTGGATGTCAAACCTAACTCATTGTGATCTCTGAAGCCACTCACTTAATTCTCCTCTGCATTCTCTCCTTAACAACCCAGCTGCAGGCAGGGCACGGTGGCTCATGCCTGTAATCCCAGCACTTTGGAAGTCCGGGGTGGGCAGATCATGAGGTCAGGAGATTGATGCCATCCTGGCCAACATGGTGAAACCCCGTCTCTACTAAAAATACAAAAATTAGCTGGGCGTGGTGGCACTTGCCTGTAATCCCAGCTACCTGGGAGGCTGAGGCAGGAAAATTGCTTGAACCAGGGAGTTGGAGGTTGCAGTGAGCCGAGATCCCAGTTGCCCATCCCAGAAACTAGGAGTCATGCAGGCCTCCTTCTTCTCTCACTCCCACACAATGAGCCATCAAATCCAGTCTTTCTATCTTAACATCACTGTCAAACCCACACTCTAATCCATGCCCAGTACTGCCATGTGAATGTACTCTCCTCACTTCCTTCCTAGAATACCCATAGCCCCACCTCACCCTCCTACCCTTGCTTTCCTCCCTAAAGTCAGGAAGGTCCTCCTCAAGAGATAACTGCTCCTGACAGCCATATTACAGAACTGAAGTACTCTCCTTAGCTTCAGCTCTGTGCCCATGTGCCCTGGCTTTGGATACAAGGTACTACAGCACTTTGTCCATTCTCCAGGCTTATTTCTATCATTCCACATGCACATCTTAGAAAATGCCAGCCTCAGAGAATTCTCTCTAGCCCCAAAATGTCTTTGCCCAGTGCAATTCCTTCTTCCTGTATTACCCCTTTCCCTCCTCCACACTACCTGCCTGGCTAATTCTTATTTATCCTCAGTTCAAGTATGGCCTTTTCTGGGAAGCTGACCCTTCTTGCCCACTTTTGCATACACTTTGATGCCCGAGGACACAACTCCCTTATTTCCCACATAGAAAGAGCCTCTTGTAAATTGTTCCATTACAACCTGTACTTCAGTTTCTAAGAAATTTGCACGTACTGTGAGCCCCCTCAACATCAGGAGACTGACCCTTTGGATGTCATTGCTAAGCCTCAGTAAATGAATGAATGAAAATGAATGCCCCTGGAAGTGTCATTTCTTTTTCTTTATCAAATAGGGGTGGACTGGTAATCTACCAGTCTCTGAATCATCTGGCATTTAGATAAATTCAGTGAGTGATCCACCCATATACTCTCTTCTCTGCCCTGGACACATTTCCCATGATAGACATTCTGTCTTGTCCATCGTGTGCCCAAGCACCTATGACATGGTTGGGCAATGAGTTGGTAAGTGCCTAACAAGTTTTTTGAATGAGAGGCCTTCTTCCCTGCACTGACCCCAACCTCAGGTTTCATCCCTGCCCTATCCCTTTGCCCCAGTAAAACACCAGTCACAGCCCAGTCTAAAAGATCAATTCTATTTTATTGGTTCTGGGAGGGAGGACTCACCCAGTGGACCCTATCCTTTTCCCCACACTCTGCCCTCCCCCCATATTGAGGCTCTCTCCCCACTACTGCCTACTCAGCATTCTCTATCTAACCCTCCTTCCCCTTCTACTCCCTATACTGTCCTACCCTTGGCCAGCAGGACCCCAAGGCCAGGCACTCAGCTGTGGGGGCGTGTGCTGAGCACCAAGCAGAGGGAGCTGAGCCCAGCGCCAGCCTTCTCCAGTTCTGAGCAGGACACAGGTACCAGGGTGACATCAGAGAGCTTCTGCAGTGCCTGCACAGGGAGGATATATTATATTATATGTACTTACAAAGTACTTCATGGCTGAGCCTTCAATGATATAAAAATTAATTAGTTACTCAGGGAATAGTTTAAGATTAGAATTTCAGCTTTGGGTGTTGATGGTAGAATTAGATATTCTTTCCCTGATTGTCCTGGGGAATAGGTACTCTCCATTTCTGGTTTACAAGACTGGGGTATTAAATTATACTACAAGGACGTTTATCATTTAAGTAGTTTGTTTTCGATTAAAGCAGAGAGGGGAATTAGGGTAATAATAATAAGGAAATATATAATGGATGCGGTTTGGCCAACAGTTACAAAGGGGTATATTTACAAAGGAGTGGGTAGAGGGGAGTAAGACCTCGAGGCCAGAGCCAGGCCACTCTTCCAGCCAGCTCAGAGTGGCCCCACGCAGGCTTCTAGAGAAGGCACCCTTCCTCCCTCCCCCAGGAAAGCCTGAAACTCTTTTCTCTGATGGTGCTTGGTGTTGGAGTTTCTGCCCTCCCTCACCTCCTGGCTGTTGGGCAGGTCCCCACCTCCACGGTGCAGGAGGAAAGGGGGCACACCAGGTAACCCAGGACGAAGAAAGAGACAGTCAGCAGCTGCGTCATCTGGGAGGGTCAGGGAGGCATATGGGTGATCTGTCAGCACTGCCATTGCCTGGAGGAAAGAGGAAGTATTGGAGTCTCAGAACCTCTCCACAAGTGAGTCTGCCTGCTCAACCACCACTAAGAGCTGGGGACAGACTGACATTTGTGGAATAATAATGACAGCAAGCACGTAGGGCTTACTATGTCAGACATTAAGTATTTTAGCTACCTTTGCTAATTTCCATCTTGGAATCACCTGCAGTTATTTTCAACCCCCTACCCTTCCCCAGTCCCTCCCCTCATCTGTCCTCTCCATTCTTAGAGTCACAGTTTAGGTGCCACCTTTGGGGTTTCCTAAAACTCTGAAAGAGCAAATTAATCACCCCTTTTCCCAGTCCCGCTTTTTTTTTTTTTTTTTTTTTTTGACAGAGTTTCACTCTTGTTACCCAGGCTGGAGTGCAATGGCGCGATCTCGGCTCACCGCAACCTCCGCCTCCTAGGTTCAGGCAATTCTCCTGCCTCAGCCTCCTGAGTAGCTGGGATTACAGGCACGCGCCACCATGCCCAGCTAATTTTTTGTATTTTTAGTAGAGACGGGGTTTCACCATGTTGACCAGGATGGTCTGTTTTAACTTCTTATTTACTCGTGTGTTTTTTCATATAAGATGGACAGCCCAATGAGGGCAGGGGTTGGGGCTAATTTCCTAAGCCTCCCAGCTCCCTACCTCCCAGGCCCAGAGTCGTGCCCACTTTCGTTGGTCCCTCCCCCTCCTCACCCTGACAGCCTTTTGGGCAGCGTCACTGCTGCCTGCCACAACAGTGCGAGGTCCCCCCATGCCGCAGAGACCGCGCAGGTGGGAAGGACCCGAGACTGGCACAGTGGAGACGGCGAAGTCCTAGGGAGAACGAGGGGAGGTATTCAGGGATGCGGGAGGGGCGATGAGATACCCTCAAATATAGGCTGCTCTCTGCCTCTCATTCCTCATCGGGCTCCTAGGCCCTTCCGACCCCCACCTGCACCCCGCTCCCTCCCTAGGCTGGTCCCTTCAGTACCCTGAACGTGTCCGCCACGATCTCAGCTCCTCGGTGATTGGTCCATTTGGAGAGGCCTACGAAAAACTCCCGGCCTGAGTCCGGGAGGCCACGGAGGTTTGAGGGCAGGAGTGAGTTGGAAACAAGGCTCGAGACAGCCGAGTCTCCCAAACTCTACTTCCCTGTGCCAAGACCCCAGGGTGCCGCCACCCCTGCCTCACCGGTGAAGAGAACGTCAGTGCCATCCAGTGTGGCGTTCTCGTCTCCTATTTCCACAATTCGGAGCCCCAGGTCCTGGAGGGCTTTGCGGACTCCATCGACCTTAGGGTAGGAGAAGAAGGCAGGGGGCTGAGACACCCCCGTCCCCAATTCTTCCCCAAAGCCCCGACATCCAGCTCCTCCTGCCCTTCCCCATACCACACCTGCGCCGCGGCGCTCACCTCACCTCTGGCCTACGAGCGGGGCTCCAGGGCCGCGTGATGAGGGCCGTGTCCCCTTGGATCACGGCCGTGTCACCAAGCAGCGGTCCCAGCGGCAACGACTCCTCAGGAGGCAGTTCTAGCAGCTGTAGCCCCAGTCGCTGCCTCAGTTTACCTCCCAGCACCCCGTGCTCCCTTTGAGCTTTGGCCAGATCCAGAGCGGGAAGGCCGGCCCCCGCACCTTCCCCAGACGCCAGGCTCTCTGGAACTCCCCGGATCAGGGCATGGGAGCAGCGGCCCAGCCCCTCCCCCGGCGTCCCCATCCCATCCACACAGACGCCCCTCCAACCGTTCGGATTTCTTAGTTTTCTTGTTTCTTCACCTGTACGGGAGAAGAAACAGAAAGGCGGGAGACAGAGAAAAAGACATGCAGACAAGGGCGTTGGGGGCTGTTAAGAGCGCCCAGGTCTTCCTCCTGCCATCTCTGGGCGCCCCTCCTACCCCGCCCCACCCCCTCTAGGCCTTCCTCCCCTGTCGACTCCACTCTACCCAGCACCCTCAGGAGTTAGATTCTTTAAGAGGAGTCTGAGGAACAAGGGTAGGCTCGCTAATCTCCAAAACACCTGTTGCCCCTGCTCGGGGGCTTCTTGAGGTCCCTGCCAGGCGCCTCTCTTGGCAGCCACTAGGATGCGCTCACTCCCCAAAAATGCAGCGGCCCCGCCCCCTTAACCCTCAGCTGCTCGCTACTGTAGGG